CTCAGGTGTTATTAAATTCTTATTTACATTTTGATTATTTGATATTAATCCCAATCTGAAAAGTAAATAAAAGAAAACAATAAATGTAGTGGAGTAAAATAACACTATAAACCTCAGATTTGTAGTGGGGTAGAAGAACAAAGTAGCAAAACATGTCAATACTCAAGTAAAGTACTAGTATCTAAAATGTGTACTTAAGTATTGTACTTAGTACATTCCCTTAGTGAGTTTACACCTCTGCTTTCAGCTGCTCATTGAACTGAAGAAAACATATCTAACTGCACCACTGTCTGCTGACCCACTGTCATGTGGCTGACAGCTGACACGACAACACTAATAAGAGGTGGTAAAGGTTAAATAATGTCAGCCTCACTTCCTAATAAACTGCAGACTCCTGATCGTTAACGCAGTTTATGATAGCAGAGGCTAATCCTCCACTGGATCAAGCTAGGCTACTGTTAAATCTCCGGCTAACCGAGAAGCTCGAGTGACGTTACTCAACCACCGACTGCAAACAAACAACGCAGTGACATAATATGTGACTGCCGTTTTTTACATCACATAGTGTCAAACGTGTCAGGTTAACTTGAAACAACGACTTAGATAACGCTAGCCGGGACAACTGATGAGAAGTCATGTCTGTGTGTAATGTGTTGGCTAACTACGGCTAGCTAATATAGGCCAGAGCTATGTGTAGCTAGCGTTAGCAGCGGCTAGCACGGACAGTTTGGTAACACACAAGAACCCGACATCTCTAACATTTACAAACGATGTTCTACTGACATACCTCTCCAGAGAGTCCAGTGGAAATATGATGTCGTGGCTGGACACGAAATAAGGCTGTTGTTTCTGTTGTCAAACCCCAAACCGATAAGACGATGACACCATAACACCGCTTTAGCTATGATCGCCAGCAGGAGGAAAATGACGCTTCCGGTTTCCTTCTTCATTTGTATAGCGGTAGAAAAAACAACATAGAAAGCGCATTACTGTCACCAGATGGAGTGTTATGGAAAGGTGGAAGAAGTGCTCAGATTAGTTGCTTCAGTGAAAGTAGAAATACGACAGTGTCCAAAAAAAAACTGAAGTGGGAGAAGTACTGAGATATTGTACTTGCGTAAAAGTAGTAATAGACTGTAGGAATACCCTGTCACAAGTAAAAGTTCTGCAATCAAAATGTTACTCAAGTAAAAGTACAAAAGTATTAGCATCAAAATATACTTAAAGTACTACAAGTAAAAGTAGCCTACTCATTATGCAGATTAGTCAATTGCAGAATAATATATATTATATGAATTTGATTATACTTATTGATGCATTAAAGGTGTTATCAAAGTAATTAAAACTAGCTGCACCGGTATGCTGCAGGGTAGATTTAGAATGTACTCAATCTTTACTTGTTAAGGTGTGACTAAAGTCTTATTTAAGTTTTGTTTATATTTCACATTAATAATCCAAATCTTAAAAGTAATTTAAGGTATTAAATACATGTTGTGGAGTAAAAGTGCATGGTTTACCTCTGGATTGTAGTGGAGTACAAGTACAAAGTAGTATAAAATGGCAATACTCAAGTAAAGTACAAGTATTTCAAAATTGTACAGTACAGTACTTGAGTAAATCTACTTAGTTACTTCCGACCTCTGAAACATACTCGGTTACAAATAAAATAAAAATAGTATTCGCATAAAAAAATACTTACAGTAAAGTAACACAATTAAAAGTACTCCTTATGCAGAATGACTCATTTAAGATATTTTTTATGATTTTATTTCAATGATTGGTGCATTCATTTGTTCATCTCTTCAATATTGTACTTGGTGAAGGTGGGGTTTATTTGAGTTACTTTATACACTACTGTTTAGCTTAACCTGTAATAATAACTAATAATGTATGTGTAGATTTATATTTTGTATTAACCTAAATCTGCAAAGTAACTAAATAAAAAATGTATATAGTGGAGAAAAAAACACAACATTTGTCTTAAATATAGTGTAGTACAAGTATAAAGTATAGCATCATGTGAACAAATAACTACAAGTACAAGTCCTTGAGTAATTTAAAGTACTTAGCTACTGATGTTATACCTATATCTTTCAAAAATCATTCAACTGCAACTCTAGGCTAATCAGCCTAGGATACAATTATTTGAATACCTTTACTTACATTGTAGTCCATTAATCTCCAATACAAGTGGGGCAGAGGTCCTCTTAGACAAAGTTAAAAAGAAAACACATTTTATCGTTTTAGGCCTTCTATTTTAGCCTATTTTTATTTTATTTCTGCCACCAGTTTCAAGACAGTTCATCAGAGATCTGCAGTTGACAAACAAACAACAATCATAAAAGAGGCACTGATCTAAAACATCAAGTTAATTTACTCATCATAGAGAGGATACCATTAAGCCTATGGTAACAATTGCATAACGTTCTGCTCTGGAGTGAATGAATGACAATGTAATGGCATCAGGGTTAATTTGCAAAGTCCTACAAATAATACATGTTGTAATAAAGTTCAAAAGACATGCGCATTTACATAATACTGTGTTATATTATAGCAAAAGTTAAAGTCTCCATTTTGAAAGATATTTCCAAATATATCTTCTGCAAATGACTGAAGTGCAATAATTAGAGGGCCCTTTAAAAAATGAAAACATGATCTTGTGACATGATGAAATGACTTTGGTCATATTGAAATTACACCTGTGTAAAGTAACTGTTGGCACTGTATAACATTTTCACATGACCAAGACTTATTATTTTAACTGAACATTATTTACAATTGCAATTAAAACAATTACGAGACTGAAACAGCTTCTAGTCCCTGCAGGGTTCATACCACTTGCTTACGCCTGCAGCATTCCTTCCTCAGCAGCATCAACATGTCAGTTTGAATGGGCCTGGGCTGCCTCCCTCTATATTTCAAAGGGACCGAAGAGTGGCCAGTGTGTGGTGGTCAGTCTTCACTGTGGATTCTTAGAGCAGCTGAACTGTAAGCTCCTTCTCCTCAACTTCTCGGGCTGTAGAGACGCGAGGAGAGAAAACTCGCGAAAGACATCAACACTGGAGTTGTCACCTGCAACAGGGGATACTAAAGTCAAGGGGGGGGTTTCCTACTGCAGGGCACCGGGGAGACTGCGGTGACCAATCTGCTGGTTTTCAAATTACTTTAACATTGGTGAGTAACACAAGCCTTTTTAATGACACTACATAAAGGCAGAAAACCAGCAAACACTGCAATCTCCTTTAACCCACATTTCAACATTCATGAAGAAAGACAGAGAAAAAGTCAAAGCCCCCAAAGCACGGCCTCAAGATTGAGTGAAGTTCCTGGGTCTACCGTGGTGGTACAAAGACACCCATTCCTTCAGGTAAGTGACTCGCTCTTCTATGAAGTGTGTTAAGTTAATTGAGTGAACACTGTGTGGATACCAGAAACTGAAGCTGCATTTTTTGCACATTTTCTTCAGAAAGGTTACCCTTCTATGTGGGAGTCTTTGTTAGTTTGCAGATAGAACATCAGGAACTTGCAGGGAAAGAGTGGTGAGCATCCTGACCATTTCCCTCCTACGTCATCCTGGGATCCCCTTCCCTCTCTCGCACGTCGCCAAGGTCTACTTGGCTTTGATTAACCCTTGTGCCTCACTTTTAAAAAGTTGCTCATATAGGACAAAAAGGTGCACAAAAGAAATAACAAACATATTTACTATTTTCCATTTTTGTTGAGTTTAATCTTTACCTATCATTCGATTTTCAGTATGGGATTTGTCAATGTTTAGCAAATAATAATTTTGATGCACTGAATCAAACGCATAATACAGCAGCAATTATCCCAGTTGAAAGCAATGTTTATTTATTATATATTGTGATGTAATGGTTGTGGGATGAAAGGTTTCCTTTAAATGTTTTTTTTTAATGGGGGCCCTTTATTATTCTAAAGGGTCTGTCTGTATTTTGACCACAGTTTATTATAGACTTATTATGATAGCTGATTAGAAGAAAAACATGTATGCCACAAATAGCCCAAATGAATAATTTAATTTAATTAAGTGTGAGACACAGGGGTTAATTTACGAATTCAGATTTCATAATATGCAGTGTACCATACTTACCATTCTCTGGGACATACAATGAATTAAATGTTATAACATTTTGGATAAATATTTCCCAATACATTACGGGAATGCTGTATTGCCTCACGACACATCGCTCCTCCACAGTAGATTTCTGTTTAATGCTGAATGGCTCATTGCTCCACAGGAAACAAAAAAAAGATTCCCAACATCAAGACAGCTCCAACTGTTTCCCAAAAGAGTGTGTGTGCAACAGAAACCCACAGCCACCAGGGAAAAGAGAATCACATTATCACACTAGTCCCTAAAAGACGGCCCAGGATGCTTCACTCACTCTATCCCGACCATCCTTGGGTTTAACTCTCCTGCTGCCCCCGGCAACCCCTGTGGTGACAGAAGCAATGATGCGTCAGTTTATTTCCTCAAGTGGACATGTGCTTAGGTGTAAAGCGAGTAATTAGACATTTCCAACATGTGAAAGCATTCGTTAGTGATGGCATAATAATGCTAGTGAGGGCTCATTAATGTTTTAAAACTGGAGACACTCAATTATTCAAGGCACGGTATTGCTGATGCAGACTAGAAACTGAGACGCTATTTGAAACACCCCAAACACTAAAGTGATCTATAAATAGCATGTTGAGATTGAACTGGCAGCCTGGAGACATGTACACCTTCTTTAAAAATGTTACCATGAAAGAAACCATTGTATTGCTTTGAATAAGCCAAGTGCTGATTATAAAAACGAAAGCATTCTCTCAACACCTGGCAAAGCTTCTACAAAGCTATATTTCATAACTTTAGAACAATAAGAATTGTCATCATTAGAGAAACTAATCTGTAGGTCTTTTGAAAGGTATTGCTGCAATGTTGAGAGAATGTTATGAATAAGAGATGAGACAGGAAATGAGAGCAAGAAGCAGGAAGCAGGTTAGTTCATCAAGAGTTTCTCAGTTTTATTGTATGTTTTCTTTTTTCCCCTCAGTGCTTCTAAAGACAAGGAAGAAAGTATTCCAAAGATATCCAAATATCAGTAAACAGAAGAACGCCTCCAAGCAGAACTGTGGTACAGTGTTGCTTGACAGGTAGATTTTTTTTAGAAGAGAATAAAAAGACACACATAAAACCAGATCAGGATCCATGATTGAATGCTGAGAGGCAGGAGGTTGGCATCAAGTTAAAATACACAAGTGTACTATTTACAGCAATTTGCTTTGAACAGCATCTTTAACCACTCCTACGTCAATACACACAATGGACACAACATTTAACACTTCCGCTAGAGCCCCTAACGGTTTGGTCACAGTAGCTTCACATCAACCCCTAGACTGGTTCTACTCGCAGTACATCACCTGCCATATCAAAATCCCTCAGGTCTGTCACATTATTTCTGTAACCTCTTTTCAACATGTGAGTACACTAACAGTGTTTCTACCACTCTGTCACTTCACAAAGCATGGTAAGACAATGCTGTTTCTACTCTGAACAGTTTCAGTTTAAAAACAAAAAGACGGTTATATAATACAACAATATCAGACACTTTCCCTTTAAAAAGTCTTTGGCTGAGGAAAATAAACCACAACATTAAAAAACAATTCATTATTGTTGGTAAGCTTATGGTGAAACAAACAAAACAAAAAGACAGGAATGAGGAAGTCACCACAGATTGGGTCCGTGGATGGAAGAATTGCACAGAGGTGCATAGAGTAAGATATTTCTGACACCAGAGGGGTCTTGGTGGTACATGCTCATTCCACAGGACTGCACTGCACGACGTGATCCGACCATACGAAACGTATTTAATCATGCTCAGAATGCAAACGATGTTGAACTTTTCCCCATAAAGAAATTCTGGCAAAGCATGCAGGGAACACTGCAGAAATAAGCCAGATGTATAAGTCATTTGACCCCACAAGTGTCTAAACTGTATTAAAGAAATGTGCTCCTTTATCTCATCACAGATACGGTAACATGGATGAGTACTTAGAACATAATGGAGGTGTCATGAGTCTCCTTTGTCTCTTAGGGTGAGAAGTAAATCCAGTTTTATACACTATCACTTCTTGCTGCTCTGGTTCGTCTGCACATCACGGTAGCAAGTTCTCATCCTGACATAAAACAATGAATAAATGACTGCAATCCATTTTTAAAATGGTTCATTGTTACTAGATTTCCAATATGCTAGTGAATTCTCTTTAAGGGGTATTAATACCAATAATCCTAGCAATGTAAGGCCGTTCCGTTGGGAACATGAAAGCAAAATGAGTGTATATTGTTATTATACAATGATGTTATCTAAAGACTTCCTGTCATAAATTCTAAGTAATGCTTCCAGGTTGAAATGACAATCATTAACGGAAATGCAGACGTAAACTGCATCCAAGAATGCATTGCACTGGTCCTCTGGGGAGATAAACATAAATAAAGAGACAGACAATTGATATAGAATAGCTTGACGAGACAATTACAATGTAAAAACTAATAGGATGAAAAATAAAACAATTATAATACTGTAGATGGGAAAAGTGCACAGTTTCTTTTTTTCCTTTACATAATGTATCATACTATCGTATTATTTAACTCTATCTCTCAGTATTCCTTGTCCCATGCACTCACTCACTCATTCTCTCACTCACTCACATAGTATCTTACAAAGCAGGCGAGGGTCTCTTCTTCACGAGCCCTTCAGTATTTTTGTCACAGTTTTACATTACATTTCCCTTCCATCTTTATACACAGGAAACTACCCTGCCCAGCTCTACTGCAACGTGTCAGTTACTCTTTTTTTTCTTAGTAATGGAACAAATACCATGTTTTTTTTACCTCATGCCACAGCACATAGTTTAAAGATTACCCATATAATTTCTAAATACGTATATGTACATCTCGGATTAAGAAGAGTATGGTAAATTGGATGTCACACAGATGGTCTGGATAGATATAAAGTGTATGGGGGGTAATGCAGAGGTAAGAGCTGTAAGGCAACAGTAAACCCACACCCTCACACAATAGGTTACAACACCACGTTATGGTAAGTTAGAGGATTACCCAGTTAGCAAAACACCAAAAAGCAGATGTCATTGTACGTGTCGTGAAGCTAGCATAGCGTGGCGGTTGCCGAGCAGAAAAGTAGTGTTGATGCAGAAAAATTGAGTTGTATTGTCAGTAGAGTTAAAAAGGTCCATCAGGGGTCTCCCTATGACACAACGCACCCCCATAATGTGCAAGTGGTATGCTCCTCTCTCCTCAAAAACCCCAAAGAAGTTCCCAGTAGACCCAGATCTACGTAAGTAACAGACTAGAGATCAGTGTCTAGGGGCAACCTCATCTACACAGTTATTTTAAGTTCATTCAGGAGGAACATTTGTATATATATATTTATATAAAGAGAGAGAGAGCACAAGCTTTGCTCCTCGATACGGAAGTGACCACTAGCACTCCTCTATGGTGAGACAGATGAATTCCTGGATGCACTTCCTATACTGCTGCTCAGTGGGGCTGCTGCTGTGGTATTGACCTGGTTGACCCAAAGGAGCCTCAGCCTCTCGCATCTCCTCGTTCATCCGCGCTAGACGCAACCTGGCAGAGAAAAGAAAAAGACAAGGGGCAGAGCGAGATGAGTGATGGAAGAGAGGGACACACACATGGAAGCAGGAATGGGATAGTAAGATGGCGAATGACAGAAGGGAAAATAAGAGGGAGTAAAAAGGTTGAGATAATGAGGAGACCGTGAGAATGGAAAGGTGGTGATGCGGTAAAGAGCCGCGAAGGAGATGAATCACAGAGGAGAGAAAAGGACAAGAGGAGGGAGGGAAAGAGAGACAACAATCAATAATTGGCTCTCATAAAGGAAATGATCAAATCCCTTTAAACCACTTTTAGATGTTTAAGATTTAAACTTCATTTAAAAGCTTAAATAAGGTTGAAAATAAGAGATGACCACATCTCGTTGCAGCTCCAGGAAAAGCTAGTAAGACAATGTCGAGTGTAGATCATTTTGTGTATTTTTATTGTTTTTAGTGAATTCCGAGCAGAGCAGTACAATAGTCCAATGTGTGTTACCTCAATACTTCACAAAGTTGATTATCATAATTCCAATTTACAACATGACTATTTTATTATTTTACTAAATGAAATGAATATTTAATGTTTAATCTAAGTGATGAATCAATGTATAAATGATTATTAGAAACGTAATCAAAGGGCTGAGAAGTTTCTGGATCACTCACAGGGTGACGATGTCTGCGTTGGCCGCCTGCACAGCGATGCTGAGGGGGTCGTGACCCTGCTCGTCCACCTCCGATTGCGACGCTCCTCTCTTCAGGAACAGACACACTTGACTGCATGAAAAAAAGATGCGGAGAAAAGAGGTCAATATAGGAGTTATTGACACCAGGAACATGATGAATGATGAAGATATTAAAGATATTATGCCAGAACAAACGCATGTGGAATGAATAATGGAGAACTGATTTGGGGTGGATGGATGCCTAGTTACAATATTTACTAAACTGTGAGTGCAATTAACTTTTTTAATTGTTTTTTAAAAGTCGTTTCTAGCTAATGTTTAAGTTTCCACTAACAGATATCATGATGGTGGGTATATTAGTGGTAATTACATCTCCCTTTTGATCTGGAGAATATTTGCTGTGAATCACTTTGGCAGCATGAATTGAATAAACGTCATTCAAAGCAGCGGCTCAGAGATAATTATGTTTACACTTACAGTACGCTGTGTTGTGAATGAAAGAAATTATGTCATGTGAAAAAAAGTTGTCTGTGAGTAGTTTCCATTGGTGTTGCGGAGAAAAATGTTCACGTTCATGCCTGCACTTCAATTGAATCACATTCAGGTTGGAACATGCACTAGGAGGCACAGAGGAGCAATAACGACTTTCTTCTGTTTTTTTGAAGGCTTACCCAGTGTGTCCCAGGTTGGTGGCGTGGTGCAGCGGGCCTCTGCCCCTCATGTCCCGCTGGTTCACATCGGCACCGTTCTGTAGCAGGAACTCACATGCGATCAGAGAGCCCTGAGAGAGACATAAGAGAGACATTTTTAATTTAATTTTATGTTATTGGTCTGTCGACTTCGGCAGATTTTATTTTATTTTTTATTTCAACCCTGACATTTTTTGTATTTCTCTCACTTCCAGATACATCTACATGATTTGATAGGCTTCACAAACACTCTCTTACCCCGACCACAGCCTGAATGAGCGGCGTTTTGCCCTCCTCCTCATTGGCAGCGTGTACGTCGGCACCGTGCGCCAAGGCCTCCGCCATGAGAGGCAGGTTGTGCAGACGGGAGGATCGGTGGAGCAGCGCCCCCGGATGGAGCTCCCTAGGGTCTTCAGGGTCTGAAGATACTTCCTGTTCAATCTCCACCTCACCACTGGAGGACTCCTCCGACTCCTCCTCTGAGGTTAGGAAAGGTAACGCAATGAAGGAATGTTGAAAACAGGAATGTGATAGGGGATACCATGCTGTGTTCTCTATGTTCTTTGTTAGGCTGCTTGTAGACGATTCCTGTCGATGAGTAGGGCCAACTTGAGATAATATTAAAAGCAATACTATTTATTAGATTGATCATAATTGTATTGTGCCAGCGGTAAGAATCTGTGAGGATGTTTTCAGTGGAGCAGATTATATTTCAGACTGTTTGAATGGATCGGACATCACATCAATGTCTACTCATTTAAGGCAATATTTGTTAAGCTACAGCAGCACTGAGTTTTATGTTTTAACATTAAACTATACATGCTATTTAAAACATGATACATTAAAAGTAAAAACAATTGATCACATCACTTCTACTTTGCAGTGATCAGAAATAGGAACTTTTCCTCCAGTTGTAGATGGGTTACTGTAACGTGTATTTACTGTCCACCACAAACACTCTTACCTTCTTCTGTGACGCTGTCCACCACCGAGCCAAATACCAGGATGTCTGTGCTGCCGTCAGTACTTCCTCCCAGGCCGCTGTCGCTGCTCAGACCTGCGGGGCCAAGCAGCGCCAAGCCATGGACACGTTAATCATTACAGAGCACACACTGCTCTGCTCTACTCACACACACACACACACACACACACACACACACACACACACACACACACACACACACACACACACACACACACACACACACACACACACACACACACACACACACACACACACACACACACACACACACACACACACACACACACACACACACACACACACACACACACACACACACACACACACACACACACACACACACACACACACACACACACACACACACACACACACACACACACACACACACACACACACACACCACCATCACCGTTTTCACCCTTGTGACAGACTGAATGTGTCACACAAACCTCGAAAGACTATACAAGATGTCGCCTAAAATACATATAGATGTTACATTGTTGTTATTTACCAATCTATATGAGGTAAAAACCACTTACCTGTACTTTGTTCCTGTGTGTACTAAGTGTGTTGTGTACTGACTGCGTTGTTAACTGACTGCGTTGTGTACTGACTGTGTTGTGTACTGACTGCTTTGTGTACTGACTGCTTTGTGTACTGACTGAGTTGTGTACTGACTGCGTTGTGTACTGACTGTGTTGTGTACTGACTGCTTTGTGTACTGACTGCTTTGTGTACTGACTGCTTTGTGTACTGACTGCTTTGTGTACTGACTGCGTTGTGTACTGACTGCTTTGTGTACTGACTGCGTTGTTAACTGACTGCGTTGTGTACTAACTGTGTTGTGTACTGACTGCGTTGTTAACTGACTGCGTTGTGTACTGACTGTGTTGTGTACTGACTGCTTTGTGTACTGACTGCTTTGTGTACTGACTGCTTTGTGTACTGACTGCGTTGTGTACTGACTGCTTTGTGTACTGACTGCTTTGTGTACTGACTGAGTTGTGTACTGACTGCGTTGTGTACTGACTGCGTTGTGTACTGACTGCTTTGTGTACTGACTGCGTTGTGTACTGACTGCGTTGTGTACTGACTGCTTTGTGTACTGACTGCTTTGTGTACTTACTGCGAGGACCATTGCCGGTGTCAAAGTAGGAAAATAGTGAATCCAGCTCATCTGGACAGAACAGAGAGTCCCGGCGAAACTTTGCTGCAGCTGCTGCCAGATGACAAAACAAAACAACAAGATTTCAGTCTTGGATTCTATAAATATACACATATCTTGCAGCTCTTGATTTAATGTGCCTGGTGCTACTACAGAGAAGTTGATTCTCTGCACTGACCTGCTGAGAGGTTTGCAGGGGAGGCGCTGCCCGGCTCGTAGCGATGGTATTTCCTGCGGGCCTTGTTGGGGGCCCGCACAGAGCTGTTGTGTCGTCGGCACTTCTTCACTGTCCAGGGACGGGACTTCCTTTCACCCTCCACCAGAGCCTCACTCCCACTCATCTTCTTCAGGAAGCGTTTTTCCACGTACTTAGACTTGATCCAGGCCTCTTTCTCCTGCCTGGGGGCAGATGATCAGAAACTATTTTTAATAATTTGAGATCTGACATGAACAGATAGCTGCGTGTATCATGAATTGTATGATAAATAATATATTGGAAACTGAAAGACAGGTATCACTATGCAGATAAGTCGGTGAACATACCTTTTAATTAACTTATAAATAATAATATTATATATCGTAGACTCTTTTTATCCCTTGCCAATTGCTCCTCTTGGAGTGAAGACTGAAAAGGAACATCTTGCATGTGTTCAAAATGTTTATGAACTTAACAGTACAGTCCAAATGTATATTAATGTATGTGGCAATTGTACAAAGTGTTGACAATATGTAATTATGGTCATGCTAAGAAGGCTATTTTAATTGAATTGACTGACCTTGTACTGGACGGTCCAGGTTTTTTAACCCCCATCTCCTCGCAGGATCCCTCATAGATGTGGTTAATCACAGTGTTCCCCAATTCACACATCAGCTAAACATGAGAGAAAGAAGGAGGATAAAGATGGGGGATGGAGATAAAAGGAAACAAAATCAGTTATTCTGCAAAGCACTGTAGCAAAGATAAATGCAACTCTGTGGAAGAAGCTACTGGCAATTTTGTCAGGAGACGCACCTTGAGTAATTCTGGCTCCCATGAGTCTAACGTCAGTGAACGCACTTTTGAGCAATGGACGCCTAAACTCCTGAAAGAAACAAGGGAGAAAGAGATGATATAAAGAAAGTGAAGTGTCAGAAGTGTTTATTTCTAAAACAGCATATTTTGAAACATTTGTATTACATTGCCTGAGGTGGCAAACTTTCTTTTGTTAAAATCTCAAGAGCAGAGCTAAAAACAGCCTTTTTTAATGACTTCAACATGAACATGGTGACTTTAATCAGCTCAACACACCCGTATGTTTAACTACATCTAGAACATATCTTCAAAACTGTCGAATCTGAGTTTATGTAATGGAAAGTGGAATGGGGTTAGTCAAACACTAGCCATCAGAGGAGACACTACAACATTATCTTTGAATAAAATGCAATGTTTTTATGTGAATTAAATAGAAAGAAATAAGCAGAAACAGGACAAATATGACTTAGAAAAGGTGGGGAGGACGACTTGGAAAGATGTTTTGAGATGGCTTTTTCTTGCAGCACTTTTGCTGATGGTCTATTCACACTGACAAACCCAGTTCTGTTTTTCTGTATTTCTTCTCATCTCTGAAAAGCCCTCTTGTTCTGCTCAGTGCAGTTACCTGTGGATCCCCGAGCACTCGATGCAGAGCAGCACTCCCAGGTTGATGGAGGCCCAGCAGGGAGCTGTTTGGCTGCAGTCACAGCACAGATCGTTGCCAGGCAGGCTCTGGACCCTCTGCAGGAGGCTCTCCCCGCCCCCCCGCACCCCTCGGTCAGCCCTCTCTCTGGGCTCGCTGGCAGAGTCGATGCTGCTGGTGGAGGGCGAGGCTGTCCGGTCCAAACGCTGCAGAGAGGCAAGCAGGTCAGAGATTCTGAAGCTAAACCAGGGACCAATTTGTAACAAAAAGAAACAGCACTTGTATGCTGTTAAATTACGCTGTGTTTGTGCTGTGTTCGTTCGTACCTCAATGTAATAATTGTCGGCGATGTCTTTGTAAGCAGAGGCAATGCTTGCCTGGACAGCCTGGATCCAAGCCTGCCGCAGCTTCTCAGACTCAGCCTGCAGCATGCAGCTCCTATAGAAATGTAGATTTAATCTAATACACAACCCTGACTGTCTCACTAATGCTACGAAGTTATTTGGCTATAAATTACAAGTGATACAGTCAAGAATGCAACAATGTATAGGCGAAGAGAAGATCTACAATGTACAAAGGAATACAAACTTGAACATTCTCTTATATTTAAGCTGTAAATGTGTAAAATTACGAAATAATATATTCTCTAAGATTATTCAATCAAAAGATGTGCGAGAGACATTGCCTTGAATTAGGCTCAATAAAAACAATATGCTGATTTTGGTGCATCAGGAACTACAATACATACTGTAGATGTACAAGTAACAGCATGTTCCATACGGTTGTGCACACACACGCACGCGCGCACACACACACACACACTTACTTAGTTGGTGAAACCACCTCGAAGCAGAACCTCCTCTCGTTATCTTCACACAGTTTGACAGAGCATAGCCTCAGGTCCTCCACCACCACCGTCAGAGAGTCCTGTCATCAACAGCGAGACAAGTGTCACAACAACTCTACCATATTCACCCTTCAAGCGACAAAAGCCTGTTAGTCCTATTCTTCTCCACTAATGTGCCAACTATTGTATAATTAGACAACAACAACTTTGAACTGCCAAACATTATAATTTGCTCAGTGATAGGCACATTTTTGTAATGAAAACAAATGCTTAATTAAAATGTACCTTGAGTTTCTTCTGGTAGACCAGTTGGCTGTTTTGTATAGAAAACCACCGCCTTTAGAAGAGAACAACATGAGGTTAGACAGTTTCTGTGAGATATAAATGATCCATCATATGTATGCATGCTGAAATTGGTCAAGCAAAGGAAAAAACTGTTCATTGCAAGTGGGTTTATTGAATCTTTAAATGAGTATTGAAAATGGAGGCTGGAGGGCATTCTTCTGTCTTATCAAGTATCTTTTTAGGCTAAAGGTAAATTCATCCAACATGACACATGCCTTTGTATTGTTGTGTAGCCTTACTAAATTCACTGTTTGTTCGTTTTGTGTTGCATGTGTACTGGTTATCTCATTATTGTCTTTTGAATTGTATGTTGACTTCAGTTAACCCTCTCTGCTATGATCTTCCTCTTTACTGCTCTGTTACCTGTTCCAGGTCTTGAACGCGTTGCTGGCCCTTTTGAAGAGGTAGCCCTCCATAACCACGCCATTTGGTGCGTCCACGTTGAACTCCAACTTAGGGTCATCATAGGAAAAGTCCTGTAGGAAGAATAAGAAGATTAATTTTAGGGTCTGGCTTTTTTGTTTCCCATGATTTCATTTGAAGAAGATGTGTTTCCTCTAGCCTCAGACAATTAAAAGAGTGCCTAGTGAACTGCCTGAAACCATTGTACTGTAAAGGCAACGTTTCCATGATTTAGTTGCCCCTGCTCTGCAAAACCAAGACTAATGTCATCAGGAAAAACAACAGTCATCATGTCCTTTCGTCCCTATAAACTACAGTTATTGGTAATGTTACACACTGGCCCCAATGAGTTTCGTTCCCAAAAGCAACTCCACTGTAAGTGATAGGGGTCAAAATCCACGGTATTAAATTGCATGGTAAAGTTCAACTGAAGGCACTGCATGCATACAATATGATTAGATACTGTAGCAATAGGAGTAGAAGTCCAACTTATCATAACAAGAGGAGACAGAGATAACACCTTATCAGCATTTCATACAGTAGCTGGGCTCACACGCTTCTACTGAGGAACAATGCCTCTGTAACACAAGTTTTCTGTTATCCGAAAATGTTTCTGTGTTCCCCCACAAAAATAAAAAATGTCACTCTGCCCTCTTTACATGAGTTTACCTTTTAAAGAATATGTCAAATCTACAACTATCTACCATTCACCTAAAAGATGATATCACTTCTAATCTGTTTTGTGCACACAGAGTTGGATTTCCAAAGAAATGCATTCAGAACCAGATGCCACATGTTCAGCGAGGTGGAAAACACAAGAGCAAGGATTTAAAAGAGAGCCAAACCTGAGGTTGGGTTTCACTATTGTCAAGCAGGCCTTTAGTTTATGGCAAGCTGTGCACATATAGGAAGACTACACACACACACACACACACACACACACACACACACACACACACACACACACACACACACACACACACACACACACACACACACACACACACACACACACACACACCACACACACACACACACAACACACACACACACACACACACACACACACACACACACACACACACACACACACACACACACACACACACACACACACACACACACACACACACACACACACACACACACACACACACACACACATACACACACACACACACACACACACACTTTTTGGACTTTGTTTTAAGAACCTAGGCTTTTTTTATTGGTTGTTCCAGCAGCCACAAGATTCACAACATGTGAATAATTTTGTTCTTTCAATATTGCTATAACTGTCTGCTTAGTGTAAATGTGAACAGCTCAGAAGAGTGACAGCATGTTATGTTGGTATAATCAGAAGGCAACAGTTATATGTATTTTTAGCAAAATCTTGCCAAAATTGAATGTGTGGAAACATTCAGCTCAGGTTTAGCAAAAACATGGTGAGATGTGATACAACAGTCTGTCTACCTGCTGGCTGCTGAGGAATTCAGAGATCAGAAGCAGACACACACATGGACTCAAAAGATTTAAAAGGAGAATGTGCACAAACACAATGACACAAATATGTTTTAAAGCACAAAAGCTTAAGTGCTACCTCAAACTAAAGACAGATCACTAATGAAAGTTCATTTTCACCATGCTCGAGGAAAATAAGGCAAATTAACAAAAACAGAAGATTTTGTCTCAATTAAACTAACCTGAGACTTGTTAAACACAGCAATAATGCAATAAATAAATGATGTCTCTCACCAGTGTAAAGTCCAGCCTGCCAAATATCTTCATCTTAACCAAACTGATATCCAACAACATCCTAAAATAATAGATTCAAAAACGAAATAGCCTAATAAATAAATAAATAATTGAAAGATGTGTGTCTTAGAACAAATAGCATGTCTAAAATACCTGCAGTGTTATTAAAAGTAGCTGGAGAACCAAGGACACGCGCGCATCCCTCTCGGGTCCAAATGAGAGACTGGCAGCCAGCAGCAGCGCTCGTGCCGTTCCTCCACTCAAAGCCACCTATCCACGGGAGAGTGTGGCGCGAGCGCTCATTATCATACAGCTGTCACAGGGTCCTCGTGCCCCGCTGACCCCGTCGCGGCTGTCGCAGATCAAACATTTCACTTTTTACATCCCGTGCCTCCTCCCCGCCCCACACCGCGATTTAAGGCTCAACTCTCCCCTCCGGAGGCCCGGGGGTTTTGGCCTCAGTTTTGAAGAGTCAGCTTTCCATCTGTCTGCGGCTCTGAAACACTATTCCTGCTTAATCAAGCGGACATTATTGCTCCCCAAACACCAGCCCGGAGCCCCTTCTTCCCACCTTAAATCAGCCACGGAGGATAGCAGCACACAAGTGTCCAAACCATGGACCCACAAATCTAGCCTATATCGTAGAATTGATTATACTTAGGCAGTGGCGGAAAACGTACTCAGCTCTTATAAGTAAAAGCACTAATATCACAATCAAAACATACTCCATTAAAAGTAAAAGTCCTGAGATCAAAATGTTTCAGAAGTATTATCAGCTAAATGTACTCATGTATCACAAGTCAAAGTGCGAATTGTGCAGAATGCCTCAAATGTGTTTTATTATTATATAATATCATATTTTGTATCATCATTTGTTTTTTAATGCTGTAATACGTCAATGTGTAGCAAGTTTTGGAAAGTACTGAGTAAATTAGTCGTAAATATATATCATATAAACATGAATTTATGTAAAAAGTACTTACAAGAGTCAAATAAAAGTAGCAGTACAAAGTAGCAGACATTGAAAATACCCTAAGATTACCCCAACATTATAATTAAGTATATTACTTGAGTACATTCACTCAAGTTACATTCCACCACTGTTTTTAGGATTATTGAAATACACATGCGACTGTGTCAAATGAGACTATTATATTTGACCTTTAACAAGTTATTTGTGTTATTAAAAAGTGTGTCTGTTGTTGTTGAGCAACATACCAGACACACCTGTTTAATAATGCAGTCCAACACAACACTACACATACAGCAGCTTAAAATGTTTCAGGAAGTGATATATTAGCGACATTAAATCCCTGCTGTGTCCGGGGTATATATTTGAATCAGTTGCTGTCTTTTTACTTATTGATTTTGAATTATACGGTTTTACTTTTGAATTTAACAGCGGAGAGTAAATGTGGGGGTTAGACCAAAGACATTTAAATATTTGTTTATTTTCCTCTCTCCATGTTTAATTTGTGTAATGTCTTATTATAGATAAAGCTAAATGCTAACTTACATACTTCTTAATGATGTCTGACATTTATCTGATACTTTTCTATAATGTATGAATGAATGATCCATTCTCGTGTTCTTCTTGGAGTACGTTTTCCTGATTTCTATTTGGCATATTTATATAGTCTGATTATCTCTCGCGGGGACGACATGACGTATTCAAAGCCCTAATGCAATATTATATAGGCTACGAACACAGACACATAGGCTACATGCATGCCCTTTTACTTATTATAAACAGAATATGTTATAGCTTTAGATCATTAGAACTGACACAAGGAAAAGTGATACAGAAGCCTGCATAGTATAATTTTGTTTTTAAATACTTTCTCTTCGATTCACTACAGTTTCCTTACAGCCCTTGCATAGTTTGTTTTTTATGTTTTTGCCTCTCTGTCTGTTTACTTCTCCCGGGCTTAAAAAGTTCTACGGCCAAAATCTGTAACAATGGAGGAGGCGAGAGCTGAGGCGACAATCCCCCTGGGAGCCACAATGAAGTCCTGCACACATAAAAGACTGCTGTGAAAGAATGGGGAGAGGAGAAAGAGGGAGACTGTGAGGTATAAAGGAGGGGGGTGGTGGTCAGAGGAAATCGCAGTTTCACCATAAACAGTGAGAGAAAAGGACAGCTACACAAAAAGGAGAGGAAGAGAAGAACGCAATTGTAAAGGAACAGAGATTTGATAATAAAAATGTTTTTCTCTCGGTATTGGCTTCAAATGTCAGCAGATTTCCACTTTACTGTAAGTGAGTGTTTATTATGAACCTCTTAATTTCTAAGATATCCGCCGTCCTCATAATGAAAGCGATATGAGACACAAACAATCCTAAGGAAATCTGGTCGGAGTATGACGGAGTATGACAGTTACCTAATGCTCTATTCATAAAGGATGTGTACCATCTATAATTGATAAAACCCTCCGTCTCGTGGCTTTGCTTCCAGCGCCACGATATTTGCACATCTGACAGGGGTAGTTTTAAGGGGGAGAATATGAAGTGCATCATGCCAACTTTCTCTCCTGAATTGTAGATCTGCTCCCTGCGTTTTCTTTCTTAATGTTTCTTCACAGATGCCATTACTTTACAAAGTAAGATGGTAGTCAACAGAAGAATACCTTATTATCTGACTTTCTCGAGCATCATCACTGTTCAGCTTTGATGACCAGTTTCGCAAAATCGCCATGCTAATGACTCTCTTCAGGGAAAATGCTTTTCTTCGTATCCCAAATGTGTTTATTCACTGTAATTTGTAATATAAAAAGTGAAAGTCAGTGTGTGAACTATTTTAAACTGTGATGGTGAAACAACAACAGTTTGCAAAATGCATGAAAGGATGCCATGAAAGAAGCAATAGTTATAGAGGTTTTGATTCACTCATTAAACACAAAGAAAATTACTAATGTTGTTTTGGAAAATCCCAAATATTAAACTAAACTGGGATAACAAAGTTTCATTCTTTACATTGAGGAATCTTACACTATCATTCAGAAGTGACCACAGAGAATATAGTCTTCTTCATCTTATTCTTGTCTGGATTTTTTTATCCTTTTGTCGTTTTTTTCCATCAACATTACTGTGCTCCGTAATGCCATCTGTTGACTGGCTGCTGGCAGTGGGTTGAGGCTGGCATCGTGCACAACATCAGAGAACAGAGCCAGCTGTGCTCCGATCCTCTTACTACTGCTTTGTTGCTTTATTTTATTAGATTAAAAGAGTGTTTTCTATTTTTATACAGACTAAAACTAGAACTGTCAGGATTTGACAACTCAAAGTTAGATCTTGTCTTCATTCGAATCTGCTGCCTGTTTCCTTCTCTTTTGAGAAAATACAATGTCATATTGTAGATATCTGGGGCATTGTGGTTAGTTTTACATATATTTAAATATCTAATATATAATGAAAGCTACTAAGTCTACATTAATGTGTAAAGTAACAGTAAAATCCTTACCAATACAAGTTCCAATTCACATGCATTGCTTTTGTATGTAGCATTGCATAATTCCTTATTTGTTATTATTATGAAGAAATATTCGTTGATTACTTACTCCGTATTTGTCATCTTACCGTATGTTGCAAAATGCAAACACTGCATGCCGAGTGTGACATATTGATTAGCTGTTCAGCATTAAATAAGATTAGGGGAGAAAGATTGCAGATGTGTATCTTTGATATACAGAATGGGATGAACAATTCTAGACAGAAAAAAGAGATCAAAAGAACTAGTTCTTTTTTATGGGATTGAAAAAATCTATAAATAACAGATTACATTTCAAAAAGAACAAAACAAGATAATAAAAACACAGATAGGAAAACATCATAGCTAGGAAACTATTTTTAAGCTTCTAGTTTGAAAACTATTTTTTCTTAACTGGCTGGCAGACATGTTGACGAATCCTTCTCAGGGTTCAGTTTTTAGATTAAACAAATGGAGAAGCACAGAATAGCAGCATGAAAGCTTCAAAGAGAGAAGCTGTGTGTGTGTGTGTGTGTGTGTGTGTGTGTGTGTGTGTGTGTGTGTGTGTGTGTGTGTGTGTGTGTGCGTATGTTTGTATGTGCGCTTTTTTGAGGAACAAAGGAGGAGTGTGTTTGCCTCTGTGTGACATACACAAACCTTCCCAGACACACATTCACGCTTTACAAGATGAAGAAATCACACACACACACACACACACACACACACACACACACACACACACACACACACACACACACACAACACACACACACACACACACACACACACACACACACACACACACACACACACACACACACACACACACACACACACACACACACACACACACACAACACACACACACACACACACACACACACACACGAGGTACTGGAGTTTGATGTAAACACAGGAGAGTTCAGACCAGGAAATGTGCGTATTCACATGTAAAGTGAGATAACTGTCCAATGACGTTATCAAGAAATAAAAGCCAATGAAACGTAAATCTATCAATCTGTATGTGAAAAGGGGTTACATTTAATACTTATTTTACTGTCTATGTTGTTTAAAAAAAAGTGTCTGTCTTTGAATATATTGTGATCTAGGTTGACAACTGAGCAGGTCAAAAAGACCACACTACAATCACTAACTCTGGTGTAAGAGTTTGAAAGAGATATGTAAAAAAAAACTGCTTAAAGTGCACACTGCTTCTGTGGCGTCAAAAGCAACTTGCCACTTGTGGCTTATTGGTATACTGGCAAAGGGAAAGCAGTCTATCACCTATCTTTAGTAAGTTTTCCTGTTTTATATATATTTCCTGGAACATTCACCTTTTAAATAAACCCTGACAATTGACAATATTGTCATATGTGGTATTGCACTGCTGCAGTATGGAATGTTTAAGGAAGGAAGTATAAAAAGAAAATAATATTCTCACCTGCATCAGAGTCTGGAGGACGGACATGGTCAGGGGAGAACCAGGTGAGGAGAGAGACAGAGAGATAAAGGCATTAAAACAAGTTTAACACTAATTGAATTACCATAACTGGAACCTAATATGTTATTATAATACCAGGTCAGAAGGTATGTTCAAAAAGGTATAGTAAGTGGCTTGCTAAGTCAGAGCGCCCTTGAAGCACACAAAGAAAATAGTTTCTCATTTCATTAAAGAATCTCTCTGTTTCAGTACTGAATAATACAAAAACAAAGTCAAGTAGCATCACTCAGCGCTAGGTTATCAGATTAAAGAGGAAGTGTTGTTGCTGTGAGCCGTGTCTGGCACATTGCCTCCACTTGGCCACGGAATCGATTAAAGGGAGGTCGAGCAGAAAAGCGCCATGTTTTTGGCATCTCTCGAAGTAACAGATGGAAGAATCTGAGCATCTGTGCCTGTTGAGCAGGGTGTTTCAAAGTATTGTTTTAATTCAGCTGAAGCACCTATAAAATAAATACATCAAACTTAACTTTCTGAGAACTGCACTCTACATTAACCTTATTGTATTGTTTCTAAAGCTATTCTTTTGCCTGAATAAGGAAGAACATTTAAAAAACAAGTGTCACGTGGTAAGCCTTTTTCCAAGCAATCACAAGGCATTTGATGCCATCATAAGATTCGTTTTTGTTGTGACATGCTACATTTTATATTCAGACAGACAGAGATAAATATGTTTTCAAAAATGTTTTTATAAAGCTTCTACTGCTTGCTACTGTAGCCTGTCACGCTAACTGATAGAAACTTGATATGACTTGTCTGTGAGGAGAACAATCTAGTTGAGCAACTTCTAAGGAAAATTATATCCTGCTCAGCATGAAAAACAGAGTTGGTAGATAAGTTACAAAAACAATACTGCAAATAATGGAGAATCTGTTTTTGAGGAATATTCGGTCCTTATAAAAATAAGTCTTGAACACTAGCCAGATTATGAATAGAATAAATGCAGAAAAAAAACGGTGGTGGCTAAACATTCTTGTTTAAAGGTTTCACACATTGTTTGTTATGTATTCCTGGAAAGTGCAAGACATTAGAGTTGTGTTGTTGTCTCACTCTCTGCTGGATGATGGCGTGTTTGTGCTCCAGCTCCCTCTTCTCCATGGCCGAGTCGATGACCAGCTGATCCAGCTGCACACAGAACACAACAGCAGAGTTAATGAAACAGGTAAACAAGCAATCATTTAAAATGTAAAAGAAAGAAAAATAGGCAAACACAGATAACACAGTCCAGTCACTGGGACATTTCAAGAAGAGTTATCCTATTATTTGGAAGTCAACAAATAACTAATACATTGAAGGGTATCTTCAGTTATTTACTAATGCAGCATTATCAACTCTACATGATCAGACATATGAGAAAGATTGTAGTCCAACTAACTAAACAGAAGTGCACTGATGTGTCCATTCAGTGTGTGGTTTGCCAAAAGAGGTAATCATAAGAGGGTACTTAGCAAAAACAGTAACACAAATATTGGTACAAGGCATAAGTATTTCTATTTGTTTTGCTATACCTGTGCAGCCAGTTTTTTCATATAGGGGTCAATCTCATCCAATATGTTGAAGCCCTGCTGGAACAGAGTGTACTGAGCGCGCATGAAGGACAGCATCTGCAGGAGACACACAGACACACTGATAGTACACCTGGTCCTTCTCACACCACAGGGGCTCTGTCCATATGCAAAACTGTGCGTTTACAAGAATATATACAATAATCCTGATATGCCAATAGGAAATTATAGTAAATATATAAAGTTACTCACTGCATCCAGGATTTCGAACTTCTTCTTGGCCTGAAGCACATTGATCTGAAACAAAGGGGATGATGTAGTGCCTTTTTAGAACCACCTAACCTGTTCCTGGCTTCATGTCATTTAATCTAATTTAAAGAAATTATGCATTCAATTGAATTTCCAAATTTACATAAAGCCTTAAAAGTCAAGGCAGGGCAAGGCAAGTTTATTTATATAGCACCTTTTAACACAAGGCACATTGAGAGCATTAAGAAATAGTGCATCTGTATTATTCATTGTGTATATTTGTACTCTTTTCATTTCCCAAAAAGTATATATATATGATATGGTCAAATTAGTACATCATTAATTTCTGAGAAAAACATTACCCACTTGAAAGGTATTCGAGCATTTGTTAAAAATGTTATCACAATGTCAATTAGGACTTTTTTTTATTACAGCACAGTTTTCTTTTTACAATAACTGGTTAGGTGCACATTTTAGACATTTTCATGTAAGTTTAATATTATATGCTACAAGGAGTCTTTGAGAGTTATGTGTCTGGGATCAGAGGTGGTTGAGTGTCAGCGCCACTTACTGGACATCACAGGTAATATAATCTGGAGGTTATTTCCGGTGTGTGTGTGTCTGTGTGTGTCTGTGTGTTTCACCTGTAGTACATAGTCCAGTGCCAGGTGCCTGAAGGCTTTGCGGCTGAGGACCAGGGCCTGTGCGGCCTCTTCAGCCTCGTGCACTTTGTTCCTGGGTGCCTGGGCGTTCTTCACCTGGGCCATCTCCATGTCCTCACGCACCCGGTCAAATTGCTTCTTGGTGTCCTTGAATTTACGCACATCCCTGAAGGAGACGCAGTGAAATAGAGACAAATAATACAATTTATCTTCATGTCCCCAGCGTGTGAGTTTTTTCATTCTTGTTTTGTAAGTTTTATCTTTTCCATTCTAAAGTATGAACAGGATTCTCTCAAAGTGTTTATTATGCTTGCTTTAATACTTAAACTGAAAAAAACGAAATGTGTGTGTTGAAAATGTAATAACAAAGTGGGACAAAATGAATCATGCCTTGGACAAAAACACAAGAAAATGTAGGTCTTTAGGTTTGCAATTATTAATTTGAGTTATTACTGGGCACTTTTGGGATTCAAAACAGTCAATATCTGCAATAAGATGCCCATTTCCATCACAACACCAGTTTTGACTTATTATGTAAAAACATTAGATATTACTTTATAACAGCAGGACAAATCTTTCACTTCTGATGAGATACTCACTCTTTAATAAAGGTGTGCAGCTGCTGCTTGATCGACCTCTGAGCCTGGTCAAACAGTATCTGTTCATAGAGAAATCAACGCAGGTGTCAAACATGAGCTTTTCTTTAAATAATATATGCCACAGTGCACATCGATTAAAAAATTATGACAGGATGACGTTTGCAATGCTGTAGTTGTCATGCCTCGCCACAAGATGGCAATATGAACCCTTCAAGATTATAGTTGTGGCAGATTGTGCCACAGGCAGGGAGGGAAGAGATGAGGATGAACACAGGTGCACTCACTCAGCTGCTGCCTCAACACATCTCTTAACCTTTAGGGTCCTAGATTACTCTTACTGTTAACTATTGGATTGCCCTTTCTTCCATTTTCTCTCATCTCACACTCCTGTCCTTCAGCTCTCCTCCACTTACTTTGTCCCCCTCTGCTATTTCTTGTGCATGATAAGCAATATTATTTTTATCTGGATGTGCATTTCTATATTTGCCATTTCTATATCGCTGGGCAACATCCAAATATAATGCCACGAAAACAGAGAAGGGCTGACCATCCATCTTTATCAAGAGTATGTCTTGCTGATTTGCGTTCATGTGCAAGGACAATGAGAATGCCTTGCGCCCATCATGCAAAAATATACACAGACTAAGCCCTGTAATCCTCAATGTGTATGTTTATTAACTAAGGTTTCTATAGAAAGTTTAATCCACAGGCTGCCAACAGTGATTGTTGAATACATTGTTTGTGTATGTGTCTATGGAACACTCACATCCTAAAGTGCTGAGTGTGAGTGAGTGAATGAGTGTGTGTGTGTGTGTGTGTGTGTGTGTGTGTGTGTGTGTGTGTGTGTGTGTGTGTGTGTGTGTGTGTGTGTGTGTGTGTGTGTGTGTGTGTGTGTGTGTGTGTGTGTGGGTGGGTGTGTGTGTATGTGTGTGTGTGTGTGTTCATGCCTCCATCCATATGATTTTCCTGAAGAGCCTGGTTTTCTGGTTGTGTGCTTTAGATTTAGCAATGTCTTGTTCACTGCACTCATACATTTCAATCATTGCTGCTTCTCTTTAAATGTCATCTATACATTTGTTTGCACCTGCAGATCCTTTTCTACAAATCTACTCTTTGCTGTTCAATATATTATCAATGCAAGGTGGCAACAGTTATTATATGATTTATATTTGCAGCTTAACTTGTTATGTCAAACAGCATGCCATGAATTTGAAATGAAATGTGTGCAGTGCAAAGTGAAGGTTTGGTACTTTCCAGGGTGGAACTATCTTTCTGCCAGTTCCCAAGGAAATAATGAAAACCTTGAAAAATAATCTAAATCAGCTCCATCAGTTTGATCTAGGACACACGTGTATCTACATCTAATCCAAATGTTCCACCCAAACCTGCTCTGGATTATGCTGCCCTGGGTATGACCCATCCTACAACATGTCTACACTCATTCCCCAGCACTCTTGTCCCCAAAGGATCCCAGCTTCTAAGCTTAATGTCTGCTACTGTAGAAGTCCCTTCTAATGTCTCTTTGTTGCCCAAAACAGTAGAGACACAAACCAGCATCTTGATGCAGTGTCAATAGAGCACACTCAAATCTGTTTAAATCCACTGATTTCATTCTCCATCTGTTAAGATTAAGGGTAGGAATTTTATATGTTTGAAAGTACACACATTTGTATATGAAGTGATGTATAGGTAGATTAATTTCCCTGTAGCAACCGCTTCTTTTGTGCCTCGTACTTAATTGTGTCTTAATGTAGATTATTTAATTTCAAATTCTGTTCTTGTACATATCATATTCTATTTACATGTATATAGACTTCTTGCACTATTTTTGTATTTGTATTTTATTATATATGTTGCATTGTTGGAGAAGCTCGGGTCAGAAGAATTTCATTGCCATTTCTACACTGTAATTGATGTGCATATGACAATAAAACGATTGAATCTTGAATCTTGAAAAGCAGAAATAGGCCACAGTAGGTAGTCAAATAAAGACAGATTTCCTTTCACTGTCTTTTCCTCGCCTCTCTCCATCCCTTCATTTATACTGTCTGCCAGACAAGCTATTTGTGTAATTCACTGGTGTTAATGGGGAGCAGTGGGACATCTCTGGTGATGTGTAAGTGAGTGGTCCTGGCTCCAAAATGGTGGAATGAGCTCCCCATTGACATTGGCAGATAGCTTGCACATCTTCCGGCGCAAACTGAAAACTCATCTCTTTCGACTCCACTTTGAGCGTTAGAACTATTAACGAAGCACTTTTATACTAATAAAGGACTGGCTTACCTAAAGCCAGTTGAGTAGCACTTGAAATGTTTGGCTCTATGAAACCTGATGTACTTATATGATTCTGTTTTCTTCAAGGTTGTGTCTTCCTGGTCGAATGTACTTATTGTAAGTCGCTTTGGACAAAAGCGTCAGCTAAATGCAATGTAATGTAATGGTGGGAGTAGATGAAGGGAGAGGTTGTGCTGAGGCAGAGAGGAGAAACAGGTGGAGACAAAGAAAACAACAACACAGCAAGTAGCCTTAAAAGCATGAGCTGCAGTTCCTGGGAAGTGTTTTGGTTGTAGGGGTTAAACAGGCTTGACCTTGGTGGATTGAAACAGAGTTAAGGAGGCGGGGGCATGAATGTAAAATATGTGAAAAAAGACAATTTAGAGATAAATATGGGAGGATTTTTCCTATGTATTCAATGATTGTGATTTTCTGCACTATTTATTCAACTGGATAAATAGAGCAGAAATGTGTTAAATGTGTGCTGAATTGCAAGGTTCTGCACATTTGTTTAATCAAACCCTACCACAAAAATACCTATTTTAAATTAGATTGTATTAAAGCAAATGGGTGCATTTAGATAATGTAGCAGAAGCAGTGCAGTGAAAAAAAGCTAAATGGGGAAGAGTAGAGCCTCTGAGAAGGTCAAAGCACAATAGGGGTGAAAAGGGGAAGATAAGAGTTGCTGATAAGGGTCTGTTGTTCCCGTTTGCATGGTACGGCAGGGCTTTATTTATTTGTTGGTACCAGCTCGGTCAAGGTTCTCAGTAAGCTGATCTAGTAGGAGGTAGATTTAAAATACTGCAGACTATTGATTGGCCAGAGAGACACATGGGACATTCGGAAGAAACCTGATTTATTAAAGCCAAGAACCAGCTACAGTATAGTAACCACAGTTTTTTGTTCACTGGGCAAAACAATTAAATGGGCGCCTATACGTAGCATTTGATGGTGTACAGACGTTCCTGGGTGTGTGAGTTTGGATGTTATGATGACAGTTTCACATGGCGTTGCTATGCCGATCAGCTTAGAATCCAGCCTAGAAAAGGACCTGGTACCTGAAGTGAGTTGAGCCAAACTATGTGGAGGATATAAGGGATTTTAAATTCACATAACAACAGCCTGTAGTCAAGTTACAGTCAGACAGACAGATGGAACAAAGCCATATATATTTTATTTAAAAAATGAAAAGGATACCAACCAGCAAATCTGGTAGCAGCGTTAATATGATATTGTGTCTGTTTGAAAACATACACGTTTGAGTATTGACGTCCAATATATAAGATGAAGCTCTTTATGTTTTAAGTCTTCATATAAGCTTTGAATTGGAAACTTCATCAGAACTTTGGACAACAACATTTTTTATATCAAAATTATGCCATTTTACTCACATTGTTGAAATCATGAAAAAATGTATCTAAAAAGGGAAAACTTGGATTTGTAGTCACTGTTGATTGTTGGGTCTTAAAACTTCTCTTCATTCCTTTCCTTTCCTTCCCACAGTCTTTTCTTTCTATTTTATACAGCTCCTTTTTCTCCCTCATGTTCTCAGTTTCATTGTTACAATTCCTGATTTCAACTTTCTTTTTACTGATATTGATCACACTCATTTTATCATGCAGACATATGGAACGGCAAATACCTCACATTACTGTTTATTAATATAAAACAGATTGGAAAAAAATACATATGTAACTGTGAATGATTTACAATTATTTTCTTTTTCTTTAACTGTAAAATTGCCTTTAGGCTTCCCAATACAAAAAAAAAACACATTTCCAGAAAGGAGATTTTTTTAATCATACTTAGTCATGAGGAGAGAGTCATATGAACAAAGCGTGAATGCGTATGAGTGTCTGTTGTTCAATATGTGTCTGAATATTTGTGCATTATAGTTCCTATACGCTTTTGTCGGACCATGTGGTTTGAATCAGACTCACAAATGTGGAGTGGCCTGTGTGGACAGATTCACCGTCACAGAGTGAGGTCACAGTTCAATTATCTGGTGTGTGAGTGTGTGTGTGTGTGGTATAGCATTACTATACTTGTGGGGACCTAAATCTGTTTACAAAGTCACGTGTGGGGACTCGCCTCCCTTATGGGGACAAATTGGAGGTCCCCATGAGGAGAATCATTCATTTTAGGGTTAGGGTAAGGGTAAGGTTAAGGGTAAGGGTTAGGGTTAGGTATGTGTTGGTTATGGTTAAGGTTAGGATAAGTCTCCAGGAAATGCATGTAAGTCAATGCAATGTCCCCTGAAGTGATGTATACATGGTATGTGTGTGTGAATGTGTGTGTGTGTGTGTGTGTGTGTGTGTGTGTGTGTGTGTGTGTGTGTGTGTGTGTGTGTGTGTGTGTGTGTGTGTGTGTGTGTGTGTGTGTGTGTGTGTGTGTGTGTGTGTGTGTGTGTGTGTGTGAGTGTTGCAACGCTGGACCCAGGGGGGACTGGATGTCTGAAAGAAGGTAACATGCCAAGAAGACATGGGTGTGTCAGAACAACACTTCACTTGAATTCTTCCCTTTGGCATAAACCAGTGTGTTTGTGTATGAGTGTGTGTCTTACCATGTGGTAGTTGACAATCTCCTGGAGGCTCTCTCCACACTTTTCAAGGCATTCCTGTAATGTTGATGACACACAGTTATTGTAACCACACTTTCTATACGAACAATACTTATTTTTCACATGATAAATCAAATTGAATCAAGACCTTAGCCTAACATTGAATAGTTATAGTCTGGGAGACGGTTATGTCTCTCCTGCTTGACCTCAAAGCTACCAGGCAACACCCGTACTGACAGGAAATCTGGACAAAATGTTTTCCTAGAAGAAAGTCATAAAGCAGGTTTCAGATGTCTCTGCTTCCAGCCATGTAAACGGTCAGCATAAACATCTTCTGTGTGCATGTGGTCACATCTGTCATGTTTAAAACAGCTGGATGACTGTGTCTGGACACAACTGTTTATACTGGTCTGCTGGTATTCTTTATGTGGGGAATCACAGGAATGTCCTTGAAGAGATAGATGAGTGGTCATTTATTTAGACCCTCAAATGTGCCTTAGGGCATGTACAGATTTTAGGTCAGTTTTAAAAGACTGCGCGACCTCCACTCACCGATATCGTCTCCTCTTTCTTGCACTGCTGGGACAGGTCCTTGATGCCGTTAACAAAGAGCTTGTTGGCGCTGACGTAGGCCCTGCCAGCCTCGATCATCCCACTGCACAGCTTCACCAGCTTGTGTGGGAGAGAAACACAAGAATTCTCACTTTAGATATACATCAAAAACACTGTCTATTTAGAGAGTCACATGTTTAACACCGTGCAATGCTAGGATAATACTAGTTACAGTGATGGCGTAAATCAAAAGACTTGTTTGTCTGAATCAAGGCCAATGCAGGCATTTTTTAAGCTGGCCTGTCTGGAATCCAAATGATAATTTGGGATTTTTTTAAGCAATGTGATAGAAATGAACATTTAAAAAGAAAAAAAGAAAATGGATAAGATGATAATGTGCACATGGCCTTCAAGACTTTAAACCTTCCTCAAGACTCAAGATGTGTTTACATTGACTTTCTCCTTTACTTACTCATATATCCCTCAGTAGTTAACTCTCAATAGTTTGCTAAATTATGGCCTACAGACTGACACTGGTATTGTAAAGAATTTAGCATGACTAAAAATCACTATTAAGTAATACCATTTTTTTATTATTATGACGGGGGACACTATATTTTTGGCTTGGTCTCTTGGTCAGTCTCATTGTTTGTTATAAGGATTACAAAATTACTGGCCCACTTTTCCTGAAACTTGATGGATTGGTACATAATCGGCCAAGGAAAAACCCATTGAATGTTGGAGTGAATCACGGGGCAGATACACACATTACTTTCCACTAATGGAAACAGCCTTGGTGAATGTCTGCACTCTCCGAGTTCCATCTACAGGAGCTAAAAATGCTTTGGTGTGAACATTTCACACTGAGAACACTGTACAGAAGGAGTTTGAGAAACCTAATTGTTAACATATTAATATATAATAATATATTACTAGGTGCAGACAGTTCACAGCGATATTATATACTCTCTAAACACCACATGAATATATGATAAGTTACAGAGCGGTACGCTGTCATTACCAGCACACCGCCCCAGCTGTGTGTACTGCAGGATCACAACATGTGTGTGTTGGTGAGGGGTTGTGCTGAAGAGAGAGTGCAGTAAACCTTTAATTATCTCGTTTGGTGCAGGAGTTCCCAAGCTTGTCGCTATGTGACTGTGGTTTGCTGAGGAGCCGGCAGGCCAGAGATGAGAAACCAGGGAGTGAAGAGTGATAACTGCACGGTTTACTGTATGAGAGCATGACTCAAAATGAATGCTTGTAATGTAAGCATTGCTGAAATTATCTGCACATTGTATAGATGTATCTGATATGCCTTACACAGTATACATGTTTACATTCATGTGTATGAATGACGTTGTTATGAATCCAAAAGACAAGGCAGCATGAATCCTGCTGATGCTCCCGGGCTGGTCTGAAAATATATCTGTCAACAAACGGGCCGATACGGGGGAGTTTGATCTCCTCATGTGCTGCACAGAGCCCCCAGGGTCTGACCACGGCCATTAGAGGCACAGTACATGTGTCAGGGGTTGCTGATAAATTGGCTGGAAGAACCACGGGGGTCCACTCGGAGTCAAAGTGTCCCATCTGGTACCACATGACCAAAGCTCGCCCTGTTAATGGACTGACATAGTTACAGTATAATGCAGAGACCCCTCTGCTCAATGAGGTGGGGTATTTTAAATTTCGGGCAAATTATAAATGGTCTATCCATGCCTGGCATTGATCGTTTTGCTAGTTAGCTTCCCTAAAAATACTTTAATTCCATTATGCTTTAAAGAGTCAACATATTTGTATCAAGGTAAACTTCATATTTCCAAAGAGAGTTTTGTACTAGGTATATTGTTTAAATATTGACATGTTAAGAAATCTGCCTCTTATTCCTTTATTTTAAGACCTTTAACAAGATCAATTCATTCAGTTTAAAGCCTTTCTGCAACATATTTCATGCCGATACACAAGAATACACAAGGGCCTTTTTTCAAATTGCTGTGCAGGCATTTGGGAATCTAGCTTTAGGGACCAAAAGCATCACAAGGGGCAGCTTTGAATGTCTTCACACCGGCCATAATGGTCAACATCACTGCAGGCAGGTTCAGCTATCATCAATCTCATAAATGGTCACTCTTAAAGCCTCATTGCTGCCAGAACATCCTCAGGCAGCTTCAGAGCATCCTTATAGCACAGAATGAGGACCCCTGCTGAACAGAACAAATCATACTGATTGAAACTCCCCCTCAACACTGGTCATCTTTCATTGGCCTTCAAACAGGGCTCATAGTTCAATGGAGGGTCCTGACCTGTGGGGGGCAGGAATAATCTCTGGATGTGTGATTTGTATGCATGACGGGTGGGGGCATGGGGGGGCATGGACATTTGTGTGAGATGTCAAAGAGTCGCCTGTTGGTTCGGTAACTTAGAAGATGGGTTTTTACAAGGTGGACCTATTCATAAACCTGATATAAACCTGCTGCAACAAAAAGAAAAACATCTCACAATCAACTTAATAACCCCTTCATCAATTTAGGAGGATATAAATCAGGTTTTATTATGTACCGGCTACACAAGCGGACTGTAATCTAGTAAGGGACCTTGATTTGCATATGTTATTAATGTGAAGACGCAGGACATGAGAAGAGTACGCAAGAATAGTAAAAGCAGACAACAAAACAAACTGAATCAAAGGGAGATAGAAGAGGAAAGAAGGTGCGGTCACCACTTAACACTATCTCATCCTCTAAATGCTCTCTGGGTCTATTAGTTTATCTAAAGAGGCATTACCTCATCTTATAGTCTCCCTAGAGACAATTAGCCATCAATTCTGGCTGCTCTTACATTGAAGCCACTGAATTAATAGTATTTAACAATGATGCAACTATCAATCATTCTCTTTGTCTAGTTTGCAATTAACTAATTATACTTGATATGACTATGACATGTATAGATAGCGTTTTGAGATTTGTATGCCGTTACAATGCAATGCAGAGCAACTAAAACCTCTAAGAAGTGTTTAATGTTTTAGTGTTTCTAAGTGTTTCCACATGGTCCGAAAAAGCATTATTAAATAGCATTATTTGTTTTATTGTATACGGTGCTCAAAGCCTTTCCTCTGGTTAAGCAGAACAAGCAAGGACATCACATGCTCAGATAACAGAGGGCTTCTGTGTGATGCTCTCGTACTACAGAATAAAAACCTTCCTCTGTGACATTAATCAGTGTTTGCTCAGTGTGTGTGTGTGTGTGTGTGTGTGTGTGTGTGTGTGTGTGTGTGTGTGTGTGTGTGTGTGTGTGTGTGTGTGTGTGTGTGTGTGTGTGTGTGTGTGTGTGTGTGTGTGTGTGTGTGAGTGATATCCATCAGTGAACCTATTAATTCAATAACTCAAGACTGCAGGGTTTCCTGGTTAAAATAGCCCTGACATTTAGATAATAGAGAATGACAGAAAGACAGACAGATATAAAAATGAAAGAGCAACAGACACACAGAGGAAAATACTGTTGACACTGCTCTGAGACAACGTCAACATAGGACATCTGGGGGGTATACTACGAAGCAGGATTTTCGCTTAGCCGGCTAAATTCAGGGAAAACTCCGGCTTTCCGGTCCTACGAAGCTGGTTTTTAGCGGGCTAGATCTCCATGGTAACTTATGCTTAGCGGCTAACCTGGTCGGGACCAGGTTAGGTTGCAGGCTAAGAGCTCAACTCAGTGAAAGCACTGCCTGCTGACCAATCAGAGCTCAGTGTGCGGAGTTTAAAGCGATCAAGTCATATTACAGGAGAAAGGAAATACAGAAAAGCTGCCGTCGCAGGAAAGACGGCCGGCAAAAATCACCGACTGTGTGAACGTGAACATTAATAGAATATCACCTCCATCTTCAGAGCAATCTGACTATTATAACATTAGCGTTAAGAACACTTACCACATATCTACCACAACATAAGTAACCGGATCAGAGTAACATTAAGTAGGCCTACAGTCCGCGGCATATCACTTCATAATGTATCATATATTTTCTTATCTGAGTCAGCTGAGCCCTATCTGGCCGTGCAACACTCACAGTGTCACATAGGCCTACTGTATGCAGAAGTATTATTTTAAGCAACACATTAAGTTGACGAAACACTCGAGACAAATGTAATTAAAGTCAAATCGTGTCTTAGACGGGGCAGTGATATCATAAACCTGTTAATGTACGCATTCAAACACTTTTTCTTTTGCCAGCTGTATTCACCTTGCAGGTGCAGACTATGTGGCTTTTATCCTGGATAAAGTGTTTAAGTCATGGATGTTTAAAGTTTAACTTCTTCATTTTTGACTAGTATTAAAGTTCACTTTTCATTCAGGAAGTATGACGCTGCGCTGTCAGTACGCTTCTCCATGTTTGTGATTGGTCGAATGCTCCAAATACCACCCCTTTCATGTGAACGCGCACCTAACTAGATAGGACACGGCTGGCTTGAGCGATCCACTTGATAACCATAGTACAGTTTAGCGAGAGCGCGTATGTTTTGGATTAGGCCAACCGGCTAACTCAAACATATCCAGGTTAGGTTGAACCAGCTTCGTAGTATAGGCCCCTGGTGGCGTTTTTCATCCAAACAATGTGAATTTAATCAAGAAACAACCCTCCTTCAATTTTCCAACAATGCGCATTATGCTTTGCTTGTGAGTGATTTTCACTACAAACATGGTGGAAGAAACACAATATAACACCAGTAGAACAACTTAATAATATTTCTTGAATTTGACAGTTTAATGAGCACCACAATATCCAGACATAACATGGTTCGTACCTTGTCGAGCTTCGCCTCAATCTCCACCACGTCCGTCTCCACATCATCAATTCCCGCCCTGCAGAGAGAACAAAAAGCCACGCGGTTAATCAGATCTGCTCTTCAGTTATTCCAGACTACACACAAAGCAGACAGACTGCCGTTTCTGAGAAGAGGAACCACACGACAAGCTTAAAAGTTAAACCATCACAGTCTGAATCTGTTAGAGAGAGATTCTTGGATTAGTGGTACACCACAATGTGACAGTAAACATGTCTGTGACAAGGGACACAAGGGACAGTCCAAAATAATATTGTATGCTTTACTACTGTAAATTCAAACCGATGCCATTGCAGCTGAGCATTTACAGTTTTTGTATTTTAACGCCCACTGAATATTAAGCAGCATTCAGTCACCTCACATCGCGGTCTCACAGACTCAAGCATTAATCCTAAGGTCTGGATCGACAAAGGCATCACTCCGGATGATTAGTGGCCACGGCTGAGCTGCAAAATCAATAAATGACATCATGCAGAGACATGGACGGCTACTTAAGTATCTACAAGGTGAGCTGATAAAAGAGGCAGCAGCAACAGCTAATGTTTTCTTATCTGCTACCAGCGGCTTCAAATAAAAATAAATAACAATGGCAACAATGCAATAAATTACTCCGAATGTTGGTGTTATTTTATATGGTTACACTTAATATGAATATAATGGGACTTGATGGCAGGGTGTGTGTGTGGTTTTGGTCGGCAAGAAGCCTTAACCATCTTTCCCCTTGGGGTATTCTTCCATTAGGAAGACACATTTACAGGGTCAGTTGTTATGGTAACTCCTTATATGTGGGCCACAGAGGGTACATGGGGTCTTACTGTGTCAAAATGTATTTCTGATTCCTCTGACACATGCACCTCTACACCAAGAAAGCACATTAGGCTCAAACCTAAATATGTAAAAGAAAATGACAGAATAGCTTCTTGAATTAAATAAAAGTGCTTATTTCTCTGTTTGTCTCCACTTGTCAGGATCAGCTGGAGGTGCTTATTCAGACAGATGTGTCACGTTTTAGCGTCACACCCAGCATGTGCTAGAACATGTCGACAATAACCCAAAAGAACTCTGGGTGACTATGATCTCATCTTAAAGTCGGTACCCCGCCCACGCCTCTGACTATTTAACACTCGCAAATCACCCTGACAGCTGATCCTGATCATAGCATAGGGAGGTGTGCAGAGGTGGAGGAAAAGCATGTAAACAATTAAGCAATAGCTACGTTTATTTTATAAAGGTCGAGAGTCTTGATTTGTTTTAGCTTAAGAGAGGACGGACACAGCTGAGATGTCATCCTGCAGCTTTTAGAACCTGCTCTGGAGAACAACATTCCCAGAATTCCTTTCTGCTCCTGAGCTTTTCTACAATGCTTGGAGATTCTGTGCTAATCTTTGACATGTGTCTTCTTCTCCTCTCACCCAGAACTGTTTATACAGACTGCACATTTCTGTACCACAACATGACAAGACACACACAGCAGGCAGGCATGTGTGTGGTCTGCTTTATATTGTTCCAAAGAGAAGAAGGCAGGTGGAAATCACAGTTGAGAGACCTTTCATTTAGCTGCTGAGTTGTTGTTGCACTTGAGTGTTGTTGTTGCGGCCTGCAGTGTAATCCATCAAACTGGCTTAAGGTTATTCAGCTGTATATCAATTATAAATACAACACTGCACACCCAAGCTTCACTTACAACAGCATCGTGTTCTCCGTTCAGTCGCTGTGAACCCGACACAATCAATGTCAAAACAGCTAATCTAGAGAATAAGCTCATTACAAGCGTGTCGTGTCTCGGGCAACACACACTGCCAATAAACATTGACCGGCATTTGATGACAAGAATGCGCTCACGATATTTCATTCAGAAGCAGCCTAAGCCCTATTGATCCCATTTTTATTTCCAAGTTCAGTGCAAGCTTTGCAAAACTATGATGGCTTGTGCTTTGTGTTGCAGGTTTAAATCATGTTGTGTTTTTCAACATGCATGTTTGTGCATGTACATGAAAGTGCTTTGGGAATTATGAGCTTTGAAAATCAATACACTAAGAAGGTTGTCAGCTTGGCAAGGTTAAATACAAAAGAAACTACAGAGGCAAATGTGTGTGTTTGAGATTGTGTGTAAACTTGTCAATGTTTGTTTGTCCTAATTTGTTGCTTTCTATAACCCTTACATTGTTTAGTGTCCCGGCTTCTAATGTGTTTCAATAACTAAGTGCACAAGAGAGCTGTGAGATTAAAGTGAAATGGAGAAAGATTGACTCCCAAGGAGGATTATGGGTATTACTGTGAGCCACAACGGCCTGCACGAAGACACTACTGCAGAGGAAGGAGATGTATATTTGTGTTTAAAAAAAACGTGATCTCAGTTACAGTCCTGTGTGAGGTTAGTGTGTGTTTTAACTCTGGGGGAACACCCCAAAGCTGCTTCACTGATGATGATGCAGCCCAGTCAAGAGGGAGGGGGGGGGGGGGCGCTCATACTCTTGTTGCCAGTGGTGGCATACTGTATAAGGTCTGACATCATCAAAGAGGGCGGGGGAGGGGAACCTCACGTGCACGAGCTCCAAGTGCACTCCCATCAGCCCCAACATCCATCCACACTAGCCACAGAGTCTATTCTTGTCCCCCTAGCTGTGTGTGTACTCTAGCATGAAGCTTGCGTGGCTATCCCCTCGAATCTCTTCACATGAGAGCATAGTACACACACACACACACACACACACACACACACACACACACACACACACACACACACACACACACACACACACACACACACACACACACACACACACCACACACACACACACACACACACACACACACACACACACACACACACACACACACACACACACACACACACACACACACACACACACACACACACACACACACACACACACAGCTCTGCATGGTCTCCAGCCCAGAGATATATCTGAGCCCCCCATGTCTTCCAGACTCGATGTGTCACATGGCATCACATCCACATCAGCATCACTTCAAGGACCAGAGGGGCAGCAGTAAGGATGGCACGCTGAAGACATTTTCCCACCGGTGGATACATGCGGGACAACAACGGTGTTACTGATTTCACTACAATGTTCTAAGTAAATGTACTTATTTTATATTCGAGGACCCTCAATGTCTGTACAGTGATTACTTTGATTTGTGACATTCAATTGCAGTGCAAGTCTCCCAACAATGTATTGAGCCACCTTTAAATGCATGTATCTATTTGTTTATGTGACTGATTTGCATTAACTTAATTAATATTTCCTGAAGACAGTTTATTTGAACCCGAACAGTTTCTCATTTAATTCCTGAACAGAAATAAACAGATGAACTACATGCAGAATATGACACACGACACACACATCATGAACCCAGAAACCTAAGAAATAAAGGGTGTTCTTTTGGTAGGGCAAAACATTGAGTCTGGTTACGGTAAGCCAAGAGCTAAAACTACTGAATACAAATCTGCAAAATTGGTATTTCGATTTGAACGGTCCATTCACACAAAAATGCACCTTCATTTTGTACTAAATAAGATGAATAAGTCTCTTGCACCTTTGTGAACGATCGATGGCCTTGAACATTTATCAAAAACAACATTTTGTATGCCTCAAAGAAGATGAATGGACAGAGAGCGGAAATATTTAACGAGTTACTTTAAAGCATTATCATGCATGTTTTAATGTAGTAATTGCTGTTTTATATGCAAACATGCATGCATCAGTGAGAGTAGAGATGTCAGACATGGCTCATAGTCGTTGAGGGTGATAGGAAGATTACTGCGAAAGGTGATGTTGCACATACAAATAAGCTCATATTGGAAACATTGGATGTTTATATGATTATAGCAAGAATCAGACAAAATATCGGCAAGGTATAATAAAAGCTTCAAGCAATATATTTTATAATCCTTACATCATTTGACAATGCCTGAAAATAGCTCTGTTTAATCAAAAAACATTGCAGTGTGTATACCCTGCAGGCTTGTTTATTTAATTGTAGCATCAATTTAATACAGTCTCTAGATTTCAAGACTCAGCGAAGAAACCTAAAACATTCCAGTCAAGTGTACAGTATTATAATATATAATTAATTGTGTGTATGAAAAAGTAATGCCAGCCTAAGCGTTTTAATGTTACTGTAAGAGAAAGATTCACTGTCTCATTAATAATATATAAAATACAGACTTTCATCATCCTCCACCCACAGGTTCAAACACAGACGTACACACACATCAAAATATCCCCTTCCCAGAATTCCAAGTAGCCAGCTCCATGGCAACCATTCATTGACCCTAATCGCCATGGCAACAGGCATCAGCATTGCTCACGCTTTTTTTACTGACCAATTTCCTCTTTGTCTGTCTGATATGTCTGTCCCTGCACATCTCTATTACCTCTATTTCAAAAACACATTTTCCAATGTTCTCACAACGCTTCTGTGGGAGATAATACCAGGCAAAATATCAACAACCTGCTGATACCATGTACACTACGTAGAGGTCAGTGTATGACGATGGTGAGTAAGGGGCTGTAGCGTGCATCTGCAGCGCCCGCAGAGTGCCCTTGAGTAGCATACTGATTGCGAAAAGCTCTGTGCTCAGCCTTGCTCTCAATTATCAATAATAACATCACATCAGGTTTTTGTCTGTGTGACGATTAGCAGTAGATTAAGATATTTTACTCGTATTGAATACTATTCTTTCCTAAATAAAGTGACCTTTCTTTGATACTAATGATGTGATTTGCATTATTCTCCCATGTGTCTCACTTGTTGCAAGAAAAGGATGAGACTACATTGTTCACTGTTGAATTTAAGACAAAAGCACAGATCACATGTTTCGTTGTCTCGTGAGCAAGCACAGGTGGTTTTAGGGTGGGGACAGTAAGCGCAGCCCATCCCTCATCTCTTTGTTCTTACATCCTAAACCATACTCATCCAGACCCTATATTCAAAAACAATTTGGGTCATCTCAAACAAACATTTGCAACATTAACATCTACTTCTGGATTA